TTTGCTGATCAATAAAAACACACATTTCAATCATGGCCCCAATAACACGGTAACATTATCATGTAGAGAATTATAAAAAAGCATAACGCTGCAACTTGATATTGAAAATTAATTTCATACTCGTCACTAGGGTGCATCTAGATAATGCTTGCCTTCATCCTTCATATGCACCCTCAACATATTATCTTTCTTCTTTGCTACGCAATCTCCCCACCACCAAACATTTCTTTTTCTCCAACTCCAAGTTATGGATCCACAATAGGCTGACCTTCTCCAGAGTCCCATCATAAATACCACAATTTCCAAGTTGATTTCTGTTGCTGCCAACTGGAAGCAGGAGCTCGTAACGCTGCAGGAAAACCTTGATTTATGTTTGGAAAAAACCTGAGACAGCATTGTACTATTCATTTTTAATAATGAATTTTGTTGCAGTTTTTGTCCCAAGGGTTTTCCCTCCACATTGGAGATTTTCCACATAATTTTTGTGTTCTTTGCTGTCTATATTTTCAATGGTGCCTAATATATTTATATGGCTGTCACTGTCATCCATACTCAAATGTTATTTTCTTGGTTGGAATCTGGTAACCTGGGCTCCTGTCGGTAATCTGCCATCATCACATTCTTGCTCGTGAACATATTATGTTAGTGAGCAAGCTTAGTGGCTAGTCGAGCTTGAATCATTTAATAAAGGAAGTTCAACTCATTTAACAATCTTAATTTTGAATTTGGGATTTGATCTTGGTTAGAACATAAAGCTCGAGCTGAGAACATAAGTTCAATTTGAGCTGGAGCAAGGGGATTTTACCTTTTAGCAGAGTAAATGCAGAATTCCCTTGGACCACCTCGCTTTGTGTTCTAAATTTGACAATCAGCTAATACCAGCAATGTACCGAGAAAATAAATGTAAATTACTTCCACTGAGCCCACTGGGGAGATTCTGCCGATCTTCTCTTCATATTTGGTGAAACAGAATTCCCTGAGTAGTCATGCCACACCATCTCTATCTAGCAGAAGCAAAGAAGATTGTTAATGGAATTTGAAAAATGAATTAGTAAAATATCGGACTCCAAGCTACAAACTGGATTCTGGCTTGGACAAGAAGGAAACAAAAGCAGCAAGCTAAACGAGGAATATTTTCATGTTCCTGAACCATCTAATGTCACGAAAAATCAAAGGTTTTAAAAGAAAGATGGTTAATAATATACATAGGGAAGGACATTAACATAGGCATATTTCATGTGTTCAAGTGTTTACGTAAACAGTTTATATGCATGTTAAAGGCAGCACAAGGGAAAGAACATGTCATAACAAAATATAGACCAGTATGAACATATCTCTCCAACTATTACTGTATCACCTTCTTTTACACCAAGCTTCATAGGAGACCGATGTGTTGGAACCTTTTCTGAGAATCCATATATCTGGTTCAAAAGAATTACACAATTTATATCAAAAGCTGTAAAAGGGAAGTTCAACATAAGCCAGAAAAACTTTCTAATGAAGTATATTAGAGCAACTGAGCAAGCTTAAGTTGCTGTTTGGTGGTACTTTGAACTGAGGCTTGGTAACTCAAGTACTGCTAAGATTACATTTATAAGTTGGTTTCTCCCTCCCTATCTGTGATTCACAGAGGAAGTTAGTGCTTAGAATTGCAGGGATCAAAACCCTTGACCTTGACCCCAAAATCAAGGTTTTTGAAGTTAGTGGCTACCAACTCGGCTAAAGATTTTGTTGGTTAAGTTGGTTTTTCTATGACATGAAAATGATTCCATTTTCATGAATGTGCGTTTCAGGACATGATGTGCTTTGGGATGAATCAGAACAAAATAGAAATGCATAATGGCAAGGAAAGTAGGATAGCAGATTTGGTAGCAGGACTACAATCAAAGAAAGAAGTTCAAAATCCTACTGCCAGTTTGTCACCTGAACAAGATGTTGCAATCCTGCTCAAATTACATAACAAGTATTTGAACTATCGTCATGAATGATCTCAAATTCATCAACAGAGGCACTAGGCTGCTTATCTACCATGCAGGCCAAGTTATTCAGATCTTGTGCTGTCAAAGCTAAGTAGATGGACTAGTCAATATTGAACATCAAGGGATGCATAACAAGATTGCATATTCTAGAAATTAGAAAATGAAACAAATGCTGCCATATAAAAGTATGACCTTCAAACTCCTTATTGGATTCTTTACTTTTTGAAAGAAGCTCATAACCAGCAGAGACAACTTCAAGTGTGCCTTCTCTACTCACTGCATGCAAAAAGGTTCAATTCCCTGACCTTGTGGGCTTTGTTTAAATGAATCCCAATTTTCATATTCCTCTGGAAGATCCATTTTTATATAGGCAACCATATAAGGCTTGTCAACAAGTTCAGGACTAAACATTTCCAGCTCAAGACATACAGAATCAAACACAAATTCTTGCTGCTGAGAGTAACCGTCAACAACATGTATCTACAAAACAGAAAACATATATCAGATTAAGGTCAGCACTCAGTTATAGCTTGAGTTAGATTTTTTCCTATTACCTTCTCTCAATAAGACAACAAAAAATAAAATCAATACCTATTACCAGTAGATTACATCAAAAAAATTGCATTTCAAATTGGAGATAATAAGATTTAGAAGATGAAATTTAATTAGTTGAATAAGATTACATCGCATTTATATTCTCATTTGAATGTGCGAAATTCATTATTCTTCAAGTAAACCAGGTAGACCAGCTATGACCATAGTGGAATCATAATCAAACGAAACTACACCCAAATTGGGAAGTAAAGTTGTAAAAGGATAATTAGGTATTGCTGGCTGAGCAGCACTTATCACACTCAGTCGAGTGCTTTTTCCAGCACCAGGAGCACCCACCATACAAACATGACAACCAGCTTTAGCATTTACCTAATTCCAACCACCTGATCAAGAATACCATTATTCCCAGTGTGTATAATAGAAGAAAAGAGTGGTGATCCACAAATAGCAAGAGCATTAACATAAAGGAATAGAACTTTTACATAAATGGGAGATTTACACTTTGTTTGGATAGAAAATAGTAAAGGGAAGGGAAGGGAGGGAAATGAACGAAAATAAAAGGAAATGGAGGGGAAGGAAGAGAAAGGGAAGGGAAGAAAACAAAATGTTAAAACTTTATTAAACATTGTCTCTGATACACGCATCAAACCTATTGGTGAACTTACTCAGGGAAGAGAAAAAAGGCAACATTGGCTTGAGTTACTGCTATCATTTACAAACCACATAAAGGCAACATAAAAGAAGGGAATAGGTCAACAATTTTATCCTGAGATAGAAAAGGACTTACATTTCCGGACCATTTTTGCCATACTCAGCCAACCTGGGGACCTTATTGATGCCAGACTTCAATGAGGCGTTTCTTCGG